ATAAAAAAATTCTGCAGTAAGTAGCCTGGTCCCTTTGATCTCAGAATCTCATTCAAATCTGTGTAAACAAATACAGACAACGTGACAACAGCCACTATTTGCTTCTGTAGCTACCAAACTGCAATAGCTAATTTCATCCTCCTTCCTGTTTCCATCACTTCAAAATGAGGTAACAAATTTAACCATGCAAGACTCTGATCCTACACAAATGCACATCAATGTCCAGTTGAGCACAAGTATACAGCATTAAGTTAGTAAAAGGAAGTAACCAGATTGAATTAAGCAACTCAGTCAAGTCTCCCCAGGATCAGTACCTCTGAGACAAAGCTCTTTGAAATTAAAGCCCTGTATGTCTACTTACTGACACATGACTGGGGTGGGTGGAGGGGGAAAAGGTTCCATGCAAGGTTTTGGAGACTATTACTACACAAACAAATGAATGGTAGTCCCTAGTGGGAAGAATTTTAGAAACACAGAATGTCAATGTAACAGTCAGTATAATTATATTTGCATGTGTTTAACATTGTGTTCTGCAGTAATATTGAAGCATTCAAGTCAGGATCCTAGATTTAATTTGGAAACAAAATTGAGGAAGTTGAAGACTTATTACAAGCCAGTGCAACTTCAGCAGCTACATACACCTAGGCCAAAAACACTATAATAATATATTTATATAACAGAAACCCCAAACCACATGAAAACTCCAGAGTAAGCAGATGACTAAGCTTCTAAATTGCACCTAAATGTGGACACACTCAATTTAGCTACTCAGACAAAGCACAGAACAGATTAGCCTTGCAAGCTTTATCAACGTAGCAAGGTAAAGAATCCTTCAAAGTAAAACACAAACCAGAACAACAGAATAACACAAGAGACCCATCCATTAAACAAGATTCTCAGCCACGAAGTGTAAGTTAATCAATAGCTCAAACATGGCTAAATTCTCCACAGAAACTTTTATACATATATAATGTGCTGCTAACAGACAGGGAGATAATGACGTGAATGGATGGAAAAACACAGAGCTCATGCTCCGTATTCAAACGGAAAGCAGATACTGAGCCAGAAGATTTCTGAGCAGTTTCTCCATATCACATGTTCCTTTCAGAGCTGAAGAATACAACTGTCAAGCAGGTGACTTTGATCTGTTCACTGCATTTACACATCATCCCAAACTAAACTGAACTATCAGCATTAAGTGTTATTAAAAAACCACATATATAGTATTTTACATATACAGAAAATATTTCCACTGAAGAAAATTACATAAATAGAGACTCGCATATAAGAACTGAACTGCTGGTAAGCAAACTCTGATTAGAGAAGTCTGATGAAGCAATCCTGAGGAGCTTTTCAGAAGGTAAAACATTCAAGATATTTACGGATGTATTTACATATTCATTATTTCTAAACACTAACTTCTGCTTCCTTTATTGGCACAAAACATCTTACCTGTTGCATAGCTTAAATAAAACAATCACTGTGCCCACCCCCAAAAGTTAACTATTAAATTATTAGCTTTCTCCAAAACATGAAAGGCGTATAAACTCTTTTTTGGTAGGATGTTATTTGGCTAATGGGGAATGGATCAGTAAATACTAACGTCAAGCCACAAGGTTCAGTTACATCATCCTGCTTGTGTACAAGTTTCTCTATGGAGCATCACATCTTGCAATTTGGGGAAAAGTCTTAGACCTAATTTCCTGTGTGAAATGATGGCTCTTCTGAGGCTTCCTTCTCCAGAACAAAAGTATGTGGAAGTTACTCCTGGAAGTGACAAATACTTGTTTCACCACCTACTTTCTCCAGACTGAATAGTTTCTTTCTGCAGTAGCATACAACACTCACCTCTTTTTAGCTGTTCATGAAACCTAAGCAAAAGCTTCCATCTATACCACACCATTAGAAGACTATCACACAACACAGTAACAAGGTGAACTACAACACAAGCCTAATACTGCTTGCTATATTTGTAAAGATAATATTAATCTGTGTAAAAAAGTTTCAGATAGTTTTACAACTGCGTGTGCCATGTGTGGATTCCCCTCAAGACAGAAATCACAGGTACAACTCCTTACAAAAACCACCTTCAAAAAGCATTTAAAAAAAAAAAAAAAATGCCTCAATCACATTTCTCATGAAAAATCAGCAATCAAGGCTCTGGTGATGTCCATTTCTTGGGGTATCATGAGATTATCACTAGCTCATTTAATAGAACTTCTCAGTAAGAGATTTTTTTCCCCCTAAAGATATTTCCCATTTTTTCCTTAATGTCATATTTTCAGTTTTCCTGGAGTTTCATATTAACACAAATTTAAATAATATTTAACTTGGATCCACTAGCCCGAGCAATCTGTAACATTTGTACAAACATAACTAAAAGCTTTGTGGCAAAATATTTTAAGTGATGCCATTAGTTCTCTTATTAATTAAAGCAAAATCTTTCCAACTTGAACGAGTATGAGGAATTTTTACCTCAAGAGACTGCAGAAAGAAGTGAAAGAAGTGTAAGAGTCTAAGAAGCCACTTGGTGTGTGGTCATCAAGAAACTTGTTAAAATTACTTTCCCAACATACCAGCATTTCTGAGATTAAAAATACCTTTGTCATTTCAGATATAATCAATTTGGTTTTATTCATGAGTTAAACTAGTTAAAGATTACACATCAACCCAGAGTTATGTCATCAATAGTTACAGGTTGCCATGGACCACAAAGAAAAATCAGATACTCTGATATATCCAGTGGCTGACTGATCTTTCACCTATGAGCAGAATTTAGACTTGGAGGAATATAGTCCTTCTCTCTCTACTGATTACATTAGGAAATTCAAGTTAGTGCAATTAGTAGAAATCTAGATTTGAAAGAACTGATACATGCTTTAAAACACAGTTGTAACAAAGGTGAACACTATAAAAAACAGTGAAAGGCTCATAACAGACTAATAAAGAGTTAAGACAGTATTTAAAAACACAGAATAATGTGTTACTACGCGATGCTCTGTATGCTATTTTCACAAGGTTTCAGCCACTGAATGCTTCGATAATACAGTATTTTAAAAACCAAACCGAACAAACAAAAAATATCCAACACAGCTACATTTCATATTTACCAGTAGTGTATCTCTGAGGTTAAATATTCCAACTGAGTATTGTCAAATAGCTACTATTGTTCTTCATGCTGCCATTAAACTAAAATTTAAATCTGTAAATAACACCAAAAATTATCAGGACCAAGAGCACAGGGACTACACTCTCTCTTATTCTTAACGCTTAACATACCAAAGGCCAAGAAACCTGGGCTTCTGGCTTGCTTCCTTCCAGAAGGCAGGGAAAGTTGACAACTCTATTAAGTACATTCTCATAAATGAAATTCTTTAACAAAATTAATTCAGTCCACCTCAAACTTTGGCAATAACAAATCACCATTTTTAAATTCTTCTCAGGATGGCAACTAACTTCGCATTTGTGAATCATTTTAACCTGAAATTTAAAAGTTTAATTCTAGTCTTTGATGCTTAAAACCGTGCACACACACCTCACCAATGAAGCATACAAAACATTTCTGTTATCACACAGACCTACTCCTACTGGCCTGTTGTACTATTCTGGTAGTGGTTTGTTGTTTCTGGGTTGTTTGTTTTTTGGTTTGTTGTTTTGTTTTTTTTTTTTTTTTTTTAATCTCTAAACTGCCAATTTGAGAGAGTACCTGGTTTCCATGCAAAAAAGTTAAGCTTTCCCCAACACTGACATATGAAAACTATTGTTCACACAGCTGGGGTTAAAAGGAAGGCTGATATGGCCACAAAACATTAAAGACAGCTGAACACTGTAGTAAGCAATCTGAATATTGCTATTATTTAAGAGGTCTCAGCACTATAAAATGCATTTAGAAACATTCAAGGATGCTATAAAAATTTAATTCTGGGACAGAATTTAGCTTTTAAGAGGACTCTATGGCACAAACACTTTGTTTGCTTAGTAACCTACTCCAGCTTGCTCTCTTAAAGGCAAAATCGCTTGAGAGTTTGAAGTTTCCTCAACTCTATGACCCAAAAGGAAATAAAATCGGAAGTCAGGCCGTAGAGTCCCCAGCGTTTGCTTACTGATTCAAAACCGCTTCAAGTTCCCAGCTAATCCCCATCAGGCACAAGCAGGGGCGCTTTGCCGAGGTGAGGCGCGGAGGTCCGCGCAGAACACGCCCTGCGCTGCGCATTAAGCGGCGTCAGAGGTGCCGTCCCCTGCACCAAGGCACTGCCAGAGCCGGGTCGCAGAACCGAAGTCTGCTTCCCTCTTTCTCCTTAGAAACTTATTAAGCAAGGAGAAAGAGTCAGCTGAGGAACTCCCGAGCACCCCGGGTACGCAAGGTTTACTCCGAACACACTGATCGCACTCCCGTGCTGAGGTTGGAAGCCCCCCGCAACGGCACACCACTATCATAAACTCTGAAGCCGATTAACAATTGAACAAGCAGCTTCCCCACAGCAGTTTAAGAATGAAATTAGAGACCAATTTAATGCGATTTCTTAGCCATTGGAATTAGTTTACGGCAATAGCCCATTTTTCCCCGGTGATGAATTCACCGCGCTGAGAAAGGCAGGAGAAACTGTTACCAGCAACCAGGTGAAAACATTCAGGTTTCTAATTGCATAGTAAATTGGTGTTTGCATTGACAGTGATTATCGCTGGGAGCACTTCGGGCAGAGCTCTAAACTCTGCATTACAAGCAAGTCAGTGCAAAACCCAATCAGATGGTAACTGAGACGGAAAAAACGTGAAACTCCGAAACGGATAATAATTTTTTTTTTTTTTTAAATCGAGAACAGCAGCAGGATAGCTGTAACTTCTGAAGAGCTCCTCCCCTTCCCTCCTGAAAACATTAATCCGTGTTTGATTACCGAAACTGCTGTTAGTATGTACTCTGCACTGCTAAGCAGGTGTGGAGAAACTCATCCCAGGTGCTTCTACAAGTACTTGAGGAGCCCTTAACGGTTTTTACTTACAGTCTCTCTGCATTCCTGGGAATATCCCTCGGTACAGTTTTGAGTCCTAGTCCGTGACAATCCACGTTGGAAGCAATACATGTACATTTATGCGGGCATCCTCCAACAGGCATCCAACTCACGGAGCTCCAAAAGCTCAAGAGCATTCCAAGGCACAGAAACGCACTTCTTCCACCAGACAACATGGTTTCTCGATCACTTCAGTGGGTATAAAAGTGTGCGCAAGCAGCCGGCCCTTAAAGATGAAATGCCTCTAAGAAGAAAGGGAAAAGAAAACAAGAGGCTCTTAGTACAGCCCAGGGGAGCCCACCACTGCCATCATCGCCGGAGCACCAGCAAACCTTCAAAGGCGCCCGAGAAGGTTACGTTGGGTGGAAGAAGGTGGGGAACTGCCTTTCGGGCTCAGGTTTCCTTCTGTTATCTGCGAACGGTACCAGGAGGCAGATAGTTTTAGAGAGCTGGAGCCAGATGCGTCCTCAGATGAAAGGGAAACCGGGAGCGGAGGCAAACACACAGCAAACATCCATCAGAAGCGGCGGCAGCCCCCAAAGCAGCCTCCTCCGCTCCGCATGGCCCCACCTGGGCCGGGCAGGTAACCCGCGGCGGGGGCGGTGGGGCGCTCCGGGGCTCCCTCCCGCCGCTCGGAGCCCCGGCAGCCCCGCGCTGGCCGGGGCGGGGGCCGAGGGGAGGCGAGGGGAAGCGGAGGGAGGCGGCGGCGCTGCGGCCGCTGCTGCGCTGCCCGCCCGCTCTCCATGCAGTGGGCACGGCAGCCGGGCGAGCGCCCGCGGCGCAGCGCGGGGCCTCCCCTCCCCCTCCCAAAATAGCACCCGCGGCGCCCATTGGCTGCGGGCGCCTTGACGTCACCAGCCGGCCGAACTTTGGGAGCGGAGGGCGGGTGGAAGTTTGGGGGCCGCGCCCGCCCGCGCCCCGCGGCCCCTTCCCCGCCCCGCGGCGTGCGGGGGGGACGCGGTTCCCAGGGCCGGAGCGGGGGCGAGCCCGGCCCCGGGCCCGGGTCGGGTTTCGGCGAGGAATGTGCGGGCTGCGGCGCGGGAAGCACCGCCCGGCGCTGCCTGAAAGCGACTCAGGTTTCCCCCTCCGGAGGGGAATTCGGCGCCTTTTGTCTCCCGCGTTCGCACTCCCCGAGTACCCTCTGGCGGCGGCGGGGGGACGGTCACCCTCCGGCGGGGCTCCCCTGGGACCCGCCCGCCTCCCCGGCCCGAGCGGCGGGGCCGCTGCCGCGATCAGAGCCCCGTGCGAAGCTGAAGTTCAGCGACGCCTCTGTGGAAACGCAGACAAAGCAGGCTGCCTTCCCGTGGCGATTCCCTGCTGATCGGATGGAGGTTCGGGCTCGGAAAGTTTTACCGACAGGGTACTAAAAAAGCCCCCCCAAAAACGCAGCACACCCTGACAAACTGATAGCATTTCGAGATTACTTGGAAAATAGCAAGATACACAAGAAGGCAGGTTTTCAACTCAGTCCTGGCCCATCACCAGGAAGGTTCTCCCTGGAGTTCACCACCAGACACATACAGTGACCTCTTGACCTGGTGCATGCATGTCACGAAAACCCATCCGTTTCAAAATACTTCATTCCTTCTTTTGCAAGCTTAAAGATAGTTCAAAAGGCACATTTGTGCTTAACATTATTGGGAACACAGATAATCTGTTGTTCACCTGCACAAACTCTTAGTCCCTCACTGTGCAGCTCAGGCTCTATTGCTGCATTTAGGGAAGTTCTCCTTCCCACCACTCAAGCAGGATCATGGCCAGTGTTACCATGAAACCCTCACAACCCCTCCGAAGGGTTGACAAGGCTGACAGATCAGGACATGAGTTCTCAGGTTTTGCTCAAAATGTGTTCTCAGCTTTTTTCTATGAACATCAAATTTGCTATTTTAAGTGAAGGGTTTGTAGTTAAAACACAACTGTAAGATCTTCAGCATGAGATATGGACATGGCATTCCAGTGTGCAGTAGCACATCTTAAGTACCTGTTCACTTCTGGCAACATTTGCTTCATGTTTTGATGACGGAAATTTGTAACTACCTGAGGCATTCCTGCCCACCTTGGGAACTGGTTTTGCCCAAACCAGTGAAACGCCCCCCTTTACAGCCAGCAAAGCAGCTACTTACCTACTGCCCTCCCTAACAAGCAGAGTTACACTCTAGAGCATTTGCCTGCAAAGAGAAAATTGCCAGAGAGCATGTGCAAGACCACAACTTAACCTTCACCTCTCCTGGTCTCTGTCTGAAAAAGCAATGAAATGATTTTCTAATTTTATAATGAATTATTTACATGAGAAATTTCATTTTTATATAGAAACCATTTTGATGAAAACTTAAGATTGAACCACTTGCGTGACTAGACTCAAAGCTCAGTTAAGTGCTCCTTATATAGCAGTATCCCGTGCGAGAAGGCTCGGTGACAAATGACACGAGGTTTGAAAATGCAGAGAGGGACTCAGCTGTCACCCCTTTAAGTGGCTGCTTTATGGTGCTTCAGAAAAGATTAGAAAATACTGTTTTCCCAAATCTTCACAAACCAGAAGTTTGGGAAGGTGTGTGTAATTCTGCCTGGATCCCCAAATGAACCTCTCCTTTCCCGGAGCAAAAGGCGGAGGAAGATCACTTTAACCTCCAGCATTAACAGATGAAGTAGGAGGTGAAGCCACAACAAAGCCCTCTCCAGCCTCCCAGTACCCAAAGCAGCAGTGATAACTGTAGGAGCTTGAACCATATCCCTCTCCTTTACCCTCTTGAGAAGGCAAAAGCCCAGACAGCTCCAGGCATGTCAGTGACACTCATCGCTATCTATTCTGAGGCAAGCACCCTCCATCCAGTGTTAGTGTACAAGAGATCAGCTCTTGAACAAGGAACAGCCGGCTCAGGCCAGACAAGACAGAAATTACACTGCTTAGGAAGACAAAGTACTCTGAAGTCTCCTCCACACAGACCAAAGGTGTAGATCCCTACCTCATTCAAGCAGTGAAAATACTTTTGTTGGAACCTAACTTTCCTTGGGAGCCAGGCAACATCATTCCAAAGAAATAATTTTTTTTTCCTGTTCTAGTTGATTAGCAAGCATCATTGTCCCACCTACAAAGATGGAGATATGGAGAGGGCACGCACCCCTCACCTCAGGATGGAAGTACAGAACCTGTTGGATACTTGCCATATGATGGCAAGTAATTCAAACATCATAGCCTGATGGGGGGTTTTTTGTTGTTTTTTTTTTGTTTGTTTGTTTGTTTTGTTTGTTTTTTAAGTTACTAATGTTTAGCTGTGATGAACTTCAAATTCTAAGAGATGCTGAAAAACCTCCCTAAAACCTCTTCAACCCTGTCACCCATGGCAGTCAGAATATTCCATGCTTCACTGCTAATCCCTCATGACAAAATTTCCTTGAAAAGGACAAGTGAACCAGAAAAAATGACAATAAAATAGATGAGCCAAAAGCTAAGCCTACCCTTGAAATACATCTAATTATTATAAAAACTAAGAGGCATGTTCTCCTACATTCCAGTTAAAATAGCTGTTAAAAGGAGATGGTCGCATATTCTCAAGCAATGCCACAGAGAAACGAAGTGTTGACTCTGCTCTTTTTCCTTCACACATCTACTATGGCTTCTGGCTCCCGGCAATTGCTAGAAGCTGGCAAACGAGTCACTATTCGCCTCTTAGTATGGAGTTGGCAGAGGTCAGCACAGCATGTGTTACACAAAACTGCACAAAACAACAGATTATGGAATAATCTGAACCTATAAAGTGTTTCTTATGTATATTTATACTAATTTAAACAACAAAGTTATTTTTATGGAGCTATCTAAAGCTGGATAGTTTTTATCCCTACTATTTGCTGAAGTATTAGAAACTACCAACACTTCCATATATGTAAAACTTCTCACAAACAAGATTATTATCAAAGGTGTGCTGTCTGCTCAGCAGTGATTTGAATCTTGTCTGCTGTTTCTGCAATAAGAAATATAGTACTTTCTCTTAGAAAATGAGTAGCTCACTGTATTTGGAACATCTTTGCATCACTTTGGAAACTGACCATTTAATACATAAATATTTTTATTTAATCTATTTGTTTTCAACTAAGAAAAAAAGTAGTTTTGCTTTTTTCTCCTAGTATGGAAGAATATTTACTAAACAGATGTTCAGAGTATATTTACATTCAAGCAGTGCTGCCACCTAAGCAGTTCTGTAGTTGCTTTCCCTCTTGAGCCTGCCAACAACACCCTGACCAACTCCAGCACTACCTCCACCTTGCAGTGCAGCCTTTGCACCACGCACAGTCTAGAGGAGACCTGACTTCTGGGAGCAGTGGAAAGGCAGCGTAGACAAAACCAGGAGACCATGACAGCTGCTTGGGGAGAGGTAAGTGAAAGAAAATCACTTTCCAAGAAATTTGGAACTTCCAACACCTTCTTCACAAAACACGCAAGCACAATGACTTTCAGAGTTAATATGCATAACTTCACCATATTTCTTGTCATATTCTTGACTTCTTGGGCAGTTCTGCATGCGCACACACTCTGCAGCAAGTGTGACATCTCTGAGAAATCTGGGACTCGCTGCACTGGCGTTGTCCATGTGGCCTGCACATGTGCAGTAAATCGGATGGCTCCCAAATGCTCATACTTTCTGCATGCACAATAGTCAGTTGTCTAGAGGCCTGATGGGAACTGTAGCAGCGCCTGGTCAGCTGGCTGAAGTCCTGAAATCTCTAAGTTTATGGGCAAAAAAATAAGACCTGTCTATGGAATCCAAACATCTGGGACTGTGGTTCAGGCCACAAAAGACCATTGCAGAACCTCACACTGCAGGGATACCTGCACAACAGAACACAGCCTCCACCATCACCAGCAGCAACTAGGAGGGTGGAGAGGAAATGAATGATTTTGATCGCTTCAAAGGGATCAAGCTTTGAATCTTATCATTTGAGTCACAAGGCTCCCTCGACAGCTCTAAGAGGAGCTCTCGAGCACATCCACCACAGTGCTTAATGCTCTGTCACATGGTCAAACTGATGTGTGCCTTTTGAACATGCTAAGTTCAAACTCTGCCTAATCTTAAAGTCCCTGATGCAATCATTTGGGAAGCAATGACATACACCAAGTTAAATAAAGTATCTCAGTATGTTACCTAAAAAGGACATAAAGCTAACACTTCAGAACCCTGTCAATGCTGAGGAATTTGAACTTGATTTTTAAGAGAAGCTGGAAATAGAGCACCGGTTTGACATGACGGATATCAATATTGCCACGCCATTGCAGAGCCCGCACCAGCTGAGCACACAGCCCCCGCAGGGGCTGCCGAACCCGCTCCCGAGCCGAGCCGAGCCGGGTCGAGCCGAGCCCAGTCGAGCCAAGCCGGAACGAGCCGAGCCGAGCCGAGCCGAGTCCGGCCGGGTACAACCGAGACGGGCCGAGCCTGCGCTGTCTCGCGGCGCCCCCTGGTGGCTGCGCGCCCCCGGCCCAGAGCCCCCGCCGCGCATGCTTAGAGCAGGCGGCGGCTCCGCGGGGCTCAGCCGGGCCGGTGTGCGCTTGGGGCGGCCCGCGGGGGTTCAGTGCCACAGGTGTCATAAAGATACCGCCATTTTCTGCTCCCATTTTAAGGGAGAAGGGAATTCGAAAATAAACACCGAATATTGGCTTTTATGAAGATATTTTTACGTTGATTATTTTTGTTAACTAAGAAAACAGTGCTTTCTTTCCTAAGTTAAGAATGTGTTTGGCTGAGCAAAACATTATACCTGTGCCTTTGTTATTAAACATTATGATTACTGAAATAAGCATTAG